GAGACTAAGGGGGAACGCAGTGGCTCCATTCGATAAGCGCTGGACTGCGAACCACAAAAGTCTGCAGTTTGAGCCCACCAATCACGCATGGGAGAAAGATGTTTTCTGCTCCCCAAAGATTTAAAGCCTCAGTCTTGAAAACCCTATACAAGGTCGCTGACTCGAAACCAACTGGGCAGTGCTTAAAAGGAGACTAAAACACGTGCATTACTAAGAAAATGCATATTAAAACAATAATGAGACATCTCAACACACCCAAGAATGGTTAAAATGAAAAAAAAAAAAATAGTAATGGTAAGTGTTTACAGAATGTTGGTCAAATGGCATTTTTAATATACAGTTGGTAGGTGTGTAAATTGGTACAAGTGTTTTTAAAATACTGCTTAGCAGCATCTACTAACATTGAACATACACATACTTTTGTTATTGCTGTTGGTAGCTGCCATCAAGTCGGCTCTGACTCTTATCGACCCTGTATAGGGTTTCCAAGAAGTGCCTGGTGGGTTTGAACTGCCAACCTTAAAGTTAGCCCTCCAGTGCTTATCCTACAGTGCCATACCAGGACTCTATAGCCTAGCAATTCTACTTCAAATGGAATTACATAGTTTCAGAAATGTGTACCTGTGTTAACCAGGAGATACAAGACTGTTCATAGTATTATACACAGTAGTGAAAAGTTTTCAAGTACAGCCAAATGGCAGCATCAGTGGACTCAAGCGTGGCAACAATAGTGAGGTTGGCCCAGGATTGGGCAGTGTTTCATTCTGATGTGCATAAGGTTTCTATGGCTCAGCACTGACTCGATGGCACCTAACAACAACATTGTCATTAAGGGAGAGCTGATGTGGCTTTGTAGGATAAACATGGGACTGCAGCCTTTGGACCTGAAGATTGGCTCAGTGAACCTCCTTGACCCAGGTAGAGAAATGTGACACCAGAGGAGTGAGCGGCAGAGGACAGCTGCAGAACCAAGAGCCAGAGCACAAGACAGAGCAATGGGCTTCCAAGCCCACGGAACAAGGAAAGCTGAGTGACTTTGGGCAGGAAGCTTGCTTTGAAAGTGTGGTGTGGGCAAGCATTTAATTGGGGGAGCTAGGTTTGGTGACCCACACAGCTAGAGCCAGGTACCTTTAGGCTATGGCTTATGGTACAGTGGTGTGCCCTGTGAGCATTTATCAGCAGTCCTAAAAGAGTCCTGTCAGAAGAAAGATGAGGCTTTCTGCACCTGTAAAGATTTACAGTCTTAGGAACCCTAGTTATGATGTAAGTCAGAACTAACTCCAAGATAGAAAACCGTCCATCAAAAGAGCATTGTAATCACTAACCATTAGAGAGATGCAAATCAAAAGTACAATGAGATATCATCTCACACTAACAATAACAGCAAAGATAAAAAATGCAGAGGACAATACATGCTGGCGAGGATGTGGAGAGACTGGGACACTACTGCATTGCTGGTAAGACTGCAAAATGGTCCAACCTCTCTGGAAAGCAATATGGTGTTTCCTCAGAAGGTTGAAAATAGAAATACCTTATGATCCAGCAATTCCTCTACTTGGAATTTACCCATAAGAAATACGAGCTATAACACGAGTAGATATATGCGCACCAATTTTATAGCATCACTATTTACAATAGCAAAAAGATGGAGACAGTCAAAGTGCCCATCAACTGAAGAATGGATAAACAAATTGTGGTACATACACACAATGGAATTATTATGCTACCTTGAAGAATAACAAGGAAGCGGCAAGCCACCGCATAACCTTGAGGATGAACCTTGAGGACATTATGTTGAGTGAAATTAGTCAGTCACAAAAAGAGAAATACTGCATAGGACCACTACTGTAAAAGACTAAAAGGGGGTGGGGAGAATTCTTTGTTGGTCACTGGGAAGTTGGGGGTGGGTGAGGGGAGGAAGGGGAAGATGGAGCACAGGGCAGGGATTAGACACAGGAAAGTCTGGGTGCTGGGGAGGGGGGCAATATACAAGAAGGGAGAGGGGAATGGAAGAACAAAGCAGATGGGAAAACAATTAGGCATGTTTGAATGGGCTAAGTGGGACAGAGGTAAAGAATGATATATGCACAACCTTGAAACTACAGGCCTCTGGGATACAGAGATTGAGACATGGTTGGCATGGGGAAAAGGGGGAATAATGTTAAGATGCTTGTCTGTCTTTTGAATCTTGGTTTTCCTTGCATTATAATATAAAATAGACACTGGAGGGAGAGAGAAAATAATAGTCAGAAACAACACCATAGAAAGCTTGTAAGTCCGTCTTCTGCCTATAACTGATTGGAATACCTAAAATGGGGCTACAACGTGTCCAGTGAAGGAGGCTTCCTACGGAGCCTCTGCAATACCTAAGACTATAGGTAGAAGCCTGAACCACATCCAGATCTCCAGAAATGGGAAATTTCTACTTGAAAGGACGAGCAGACCCGCCTGGAACTGGCTAGAAGAACAGAAGATACTTCTTGAAAGAAAGACCTACAGGAAAAATACAAAACAATGGAGGCAGACGGACTGTTACTACAGAACAAACAAGTTGCTTGCCCAGGAAATATCAAGGCAAGTGGTCGGGTCCCCTCAGTGCAAACCCCCTTCCAAGACTAAGATTCAATGGGAATACATGCTCTGATTGGTGACCACATTCGTCACTGATAAGGGGAAGTGAGGGAAAAACAACAATGAAGTGGCGAGCTAAGCCCTACAAAGTGGAGAGTGAAGCATTCAGCTGATAAAAAGAGAGGGCATATGCACAAGAACACCCACATTTGCAGATAATACCCACTTGACCTGGCTTCAATGACTGGATGATCAGAGCTCAACCAGAAGAAGAAAGAAGAGGAAAAAAGAGTAATCTGATGTAATTTGATGAACTTGACCTATACCTATGGAAGCAGTAGCTCAAAAGAGGGAACAAGTCCTTACAGCAAGAATCATTCACACCCCCTCCACACAGAGTAGACAGGGATGGGCAACTTGGACATTGGCTACCCAAAATGGGGGCGGGAGGCTACAAAGGCAAGAAGTGACTGGCTTACAAGCTTTCAAGAGGGAACCTAGAGCCAGGGGGGCCTGGAGGAAGGCAGAATCTCCAGTGAGTAGTATCCAATCTGCCTAGGCAGAGCTGATGAAATGAAATGCAGATGGGTCTCTTGTGATACAATAGTGAATAATTGTTATCAGGACTGATTGTGAAGGTTGGAAATGTAAAGGTAGACATTTTATAGCAAGGAAGGGAGGGAATAACTTTTCAGTCTAGGAGCGGAGGTCTCTAGGACCATCAACGGAGAAGAGGCGAGAGCGGCACCCTACCCAGAGAAGTAGTGATGCCTGAGATGGAGGCAGAGACAATGACATGAAGCGATGGAACAGCTGAGGTCCTTAGATCCAGAGAGGGAGAGGGACTGTATGCTGAAGACTGGGGCGGTGGGGATAGTGTAGGGGAAAGGCCTGCAGGGTATACCCTTTGATCGGTTGATGATGTATGGAGGGGATTGTAACCATGGCAATGGTACGAATGTACGATAGAATGAATGTAAAACTAATGTTCTCCCATGTAAACTATCATATAATTCACAACAAAACACTTAAAAAAAATAATAAAATTTTAAAAAACTAAAAAAAAAAAAAAAAAAAGAGCACTGTAACATTGGCCGGGCATAAAGGGCCTGCTCGTGGCACAGCTGAGAAGAGGCTATCCTGACTGGAACAACTGTGTCCTGAAAGTTTCTGATCCTATATTGTAGCCTGTTAACTTCCCTTGTAAACCCCCTAACTGTGAGTATGGTGGCTTAGTTCTATGTGACCACTACAATGAACTATTGAATCCAGCTGAGTAGAGTGCTGTGGATGGTGGCAGGTGGCATTTTGCTGCAAAGAACATAAAAAACCTGGTAGTAAAGTACAAAAATTTTATTATCATAGTAAATACAGCAAATACTTTCATGTCATTTTACATAATTCAGAACTATTTTTTGAAATGGGTTCAAATCTGTGAACAGGCGAAGTTTTTACTAAAAAGAATAAGTCCAACAACCAAAAGATATATTTCATATAATAGCAAAATATAAAAACAGAAATTGGAAGACAGAATGAAAAAGAAAGCTAAGTAGTGGATTTAAGAAACTTTTAATTTTATCCCCTTTTAAAATCAGATTCTGGATGGTTCTTAATATTGTTTCAAACTCTCAACTAGAGAGTTGTCAGCTTCTTCCCAATGTGGTAACCCCAGTTTACCATATTTTTTTATTAAAAGAGACAACTGAGCTAGAACTGTCCTACCTGAGGAAAAGAGTACTGTAGCGTAATTGGCCAAGTTCTAGCCTTAGCTCAAATCAAACTAGGTGCAATCCAACTGACATAGTTTGTTACTCCAAAGGTTTTCAAGTATAATTTTGAAATCACACTTTTTCTCAATGAGATTTCTTATATAAACAGGAAGAATTTAATTTGTGTAAACATTTGCAGTGCCAGCTGTTCCTTTAAATAGATCTGCTCCCCTTGAAAAAGCTACTCTAGTGAAGACTCATTTCTTAAACATCCACGTTAGGACCCAAAAAGAAACCCAACCTTTTTCTGTGAAAAGACATAAATACTCAAGCAATGTAAAGCTTCTGTAATCAGGGAATTGCCCAGCTGTTTCACGCATGGAATCACTCCCTATAGATTCCTGATGAAATCAAACGGTTCTCTCCTTACTCATGGCCCACCAGTTGTGCTGTTCACCTTTGGTAAGTCACATTCATCACTGGCACAATCCTTAAGGATGCCCTTGTAATGGTTTTTCAGCTCCTCATACACAGAAACAGTTTCTTGTGAGTGAACAAAGGGTAACACCTTTTCATTCAATAACATCTGCACCTGGAATTCTTCTTTAGGAGTCTTAGCATTTTCACAATGGTAAAGCAGAAATATCAGATTCGAGGCATAGGGTACAATGTGACCACTGCGGAACTTCCGATGCATTTGTTTCTTGTAATTGTAGGCTGTTAAGGGTTCCTTGTCTTTGAAGTAGCCCATGAGAGAAAGCAACGGGAGAAGGGTCTCTGCATGACCGAACTGGAGGATGACTGGAGAGGAAATTGACTGAGACCTGAAAAGAGAAATTGAGAGGAAAAAAGGTATACATACACTCATGTCACAAAAATAATAACTACATTTAGAAGTACTACAAAACTGACTTGTCTTTTTATTTTTTTAATCTTTAAATATATAACTTAACCATAGAGCTAAAATTCTGTGTGGTGCAGAAATAAATGTATTTTTATACTGAAAGTTTCAAAATTCAGGACCACTGTAGTGTTGCAAAGCCATCTAAAACAGCATGTATGTAACAAGTTCATGGAATGATTGCATTATCTTTTCATTCCATTTTTCCATGAACTTTCTGAAGCCTCTTCATATGTTTCCTTTAAATTTCAAGAAGTTGTTTTTTTTTTTTTTGGTAGATTAAGGAAATTGAAACAGACGTATTTCAATATTGAATGAACATGAGCAAATAAGCCTTAGTAAATACTAATTACTCCATGGGGCTCTCTGAACCATCTTAAAATTTAGTACTTGTGTCTACGGAATAAGGGAACTCCTAATGTGGCGCTGTAGGATCAGCCCTGGACTGGGAACCATAAGATTGATAGTTCAAACCCACCAGCTGCTCCTCAGAAATCCTATACAGGGTCACTATGAGTCAGAACTGACTTGATGGCAATTAACAAGAAGAGAATATGGACACGCAGTATTCGGTAAACTTCTTGGTGACGGCCAAGACTGAACAAAGAATAATAGCAAAGGTTTACAAGAGATGACCAGGGCACCAAATTCAGAACAGAGTCACAGCCAATACAATGTGTCTGTGAAGGGGCCCTGGTGATACACTGGTTAAATGCTCTGTTACTAAACTAAAGATTGATGGTTTGAACCTACCAGCAGCTTCATGAGAGATTACTCCTGCTAACAGTTACAAATGAATCATAAAATCCCCATCCTCTCCCATCCCTTTTTACCAGATCCATCTGGAAAAGAGGAAAACTATTCAGTGGGGACTCTACCTTACCCCCTCATTCTGAAACTCAGCACACTCATAAAAGCTTGTAACTCAGCCACTTTGTGCCTTTATAGCCCCATTTGAGATAGCCAATGTCTAGATTGCCTGTTACTATCAACCCAGTGCACTGAGGAAACAAGCTTGATCCTTGATGTGAAGAATCCTTCCATTCCAGTTGAAATTTTAAGCACCTGCACCCATAATCAAAGATCCAGTTAATCAAATTGTAGCAAAATACGCTTCACAGTATCAAACTTCTTTATCTTCATCTGGTTGAGTTCTGGTCAGCTAGCTATCCAAGCTATCTGCAAGTTTACACATGTCTCCCCACACTTCAGACCAGCTGACTGCTTCATTTTCAGCTCTAGCCCCCAGTGGCCAGGTCAGAGTCCATGGGCTCAAGATAAACAAAAGCAAACAAACAAAAAAACTTCAACTCACTGCCATCAAATTGATTCTGACTCAGAAACTGTATGTTGTTGTTGTTGATGGTGGTGTGCTGTGGAGTCGAAGTCTGGCCAGCTTGAGAGAAAAAGTTTAGCCATGTTGCCCTCCAAGGAGCACTCTGGCTGCACTTCTTCCAAAACGGATCTATTGATTCTTTTGGTAGTCCATGGCACTTTCAATATTCTCCTCCAACACCATAACTCAAAGGCATCAATTCTTCTCCAATCTTCCTCATTCACTGTCCAGCTTTCGCATGCATATGAGGTTACTGAAAATACCATGGTTTGGGTCAGGCCCACCTTAGTCCTCAAGCTGACATCTTTGCTCTTCAACACTTTAAAAAGGTTTTGTGCAGCAGATTTGCCTAATGCAATCCGTCCTTTGATTTCTTGATTGCGGCTTCCATGAGTATTGATAGTTGATCCAAGAAGAATGAAGTCTTTGACGACTTTAATCTTTTCTCCATTGATAAGAATGTTGTTTATTGGTCCAGTGGTGAGGATTTTTGTTTTCTTTACATTGAGATGTAATCCATACTGAAGGCTGTGCTCT